GCAACGGCCATTAAACAATTTTCCTGCAATGGCCTTCGAGGTGGCAGACTTGGTTGGTTCAACTGGGCCCCGTTAAATGGCATGATCTGTTCAGTTTAACCAGGCAAAAATTGAAATTTTGAACCGCTCGTGTCATTCCCCATGATAACATCTGATGGTTCTTTTTTTTAATAAATCAAACAGAAACGAACAAGCAGCATTTTATTGTCTCTTAATGCACGGTAGTGGTTAATTGTAGGCGGTACCTCTAACGTCATCGGGATCATTTTGCGAATGTCCTATGCGTAGCACATAAGTTCTCGTGCATTTGCCTTAATTTCTCGGTAAGTAGGGCACTGCTGTTGATAATATTTCAATTTTAGACATCATACATTGGGCTTTCACTCTGACGTAAATTGTTATTTGACTAGTGTCCTTTAATAACATTAGCACTTGCTATCGCCAGCAGTAGTACACATCTTTGCAGTTAGGTGAATGGTGCTTGCTCTTTGCTTTAATTTTTCTTCTGGAGGGGATTTTGCATTATCTTTTATCTCTCTCAGTGTACATCACTGTTTTACATGATGTTGACTAGTGCACTGAGAGTTCAACTTAGATTGGAATGTTTCTTGCATTATTCATTTTCATTTGTATGTTTAATTTTGATGCTTTATGTGTGCAAGTCATCCTATATGACGTATAAAACCATTGTTAAAGTTCATCAGAAGCTGAGGTATTGATTGTGCACTGTTGACTGGCTTAGTTGTTCTCTTACTTATACAGACATCATTATAGTCAGTGATGCACAATAGCATTATTATTTTTTCTCTACCCACTCGTTGGAACATCTACAGGCTTGCTTCCACCTTTAATGTCTAAAAGCATCCAACTAAAGCTTTTCAGCCTGTAAAAAATATTAACCTCTGATTGTAATTGCACTTGCATGTCTCTCAAAGAGGTGTTGTCTGTACAGTTTTTCATATTGTTATGAATCTGCACTGGTCGCTGTGGCTCATGCCACAATGACTAATCTTGTGGCATGAGCCACAGTGAGCCACAAAACAAAATACCTACTGTTTGTATTTTTTTCATGCATTTATAATTCTTCTTCTTGTCCACGATTTTAAAGCATACATGAAGGGCTGTACTCTTTCTTTATAGCCATGTCGGATGTTGAAATGCATAGAAAAGTCTTTGGAAGAAGCAACGGCTTTGCAGCGCAATGTTCAGCAAAAGGAAAATGCCCTTTTTTGCTGAGTTTCTTTTTTCTTTTCAAAAGGGTTTTATAACACTTTTAGTACAAAGGACATTTGCACTTTTGAGATGTTTGTGCCTCTTGTTAATTGACCTGTATGTTGACTCTAAAGGTATATTTTAATACTGCATTCAGTAAAGTGTAAAGTTTACCAGCACATACTTCTGACAGCTGGGTCGGCCAAAACTTTGAGTGTGTTTCAAGTCTATCTAGTTGAGATAGTATAGTGTTTGGAATGATGCCTGTCTAGTTGGTTGGGTCAATATAGCAGTGCGATTTCATACCGGCTGGACACAGAGACAAATCTTAAGATTGGACTTACCTTGAGAGGCATTAAAGCACTCATGGTACATTCTGCTCGCATTTGGGATGTCAAAGGCTGATTTACACAATACGGGCACCTAGGGTTGCCGCCTGCCCCGCCGCGGTGGTCTAGTGGCTAAGGTACTCGGCTGCTGACCCGCAGGTCGCGGGTTCGAATCCCGGCTGCGGCGGCTGCATTTCCGATGGAGGCGGAAATGTTGCAGGCCCGTGTGCTCAGATTTGGGTGCACGTTAAAGAACCCCAGGTGGTCAAAATTTCCGGAGCCCTCCACTACGGCATCTCTCATAATCATATGGTGGTTTTGGGACATTAAACCCCACATATCAATCATTAGGGTTGCCGCCTGCCTGGTTTTAGGCCGGCTCGGCTGGTTTTTTCAGGCAGCGGGCCGGTTGCTGCTGTGCACCTGCCGTCATTTGCTGTTTTTTTTTTTCAGCGCAGTAAATGAAGCATAATTCTAATCATAGGTACTTTTATGCCAGCAATTAGACTAGAAGTTTGTTCAGTGTGCTTTTCTTGTTTTTACATCAGGTTTATTTTAGTCTAAGTGAAGCAACGTTACATAAAATATGGCACTGCGTGCCAAAGGCTTGGCACGGTGTTTATTGTTCAACACTAATTTATTCTCCTGGTAGCTCATCTCCTCCTTGTCGAAGGGCTGGTTTTTTGTTCGAGAAAAGGTCGCTATCCTACGGGTGCCCCACAAATTAAAAAGAAAACCAAATGCTGGCTCCTGAACATATTTATACGAACGGTTTTCGATACCATGAATTTCTACCAGCTTGCTGGCTTTTTTTGATACTATGTTCCACTCGTGATCCCTTACCAATGTGGCATAGAGCGTTATCTTTATATTGTTAAGCACACAGAGAAAGTTATAATTAAAAGTAAAGGCAGCACCAGGAAAATACCAGATGTATTTCTGACAATTGCTAAAAATTTCTAAATTCATAAAATTAAAGATAAAAGGACAATTTTCTAAATTCGAGATATTGGCAATAGGCAGAGTTCTTGATACAAATTATACATTTCAATTTTCGTGTGTCACAATTAACTTACTTAATCAACGTAGTTACGTGGCAATTGATTATTAAAACTCCAGTTGCTGCCTAGGTGATCCTGTGTCAGCTTTCAAATGACGCTAGACCTCCATGTTCTAGACCCTGCACCACGAAAAAGTTTCTCATTTTTTGCCGGACACTAAAACAGCTCTCGAGGAACAGAGGAAACCACATGTGCAAGAAACATAAGCATCTGGGGCTTTCTTATATGTCTTTGTCTGCTAACCCAAGCTCAACCATCTTTATTTTCTCATGTGATTTACAACTGTATTTTTTCTTATATTCTCTAACATCATCAATACCTGAAGCATAGCAATGGCTTGGTGATCCTCAATTAAAGAGACATACTGAGAGTCACACAGTGTCAGAAAGTCTCAGTCGTGCCTTTTCACATGCCCTGGCCAGACTTGGGTATATATTACAATTGTGCCATTTATGACAATTTATGTTCATATCTGGCATGAACAACGAACTGTAATTTGACATTTGTAACATTTTTGCTTTTTGTCCCCACAGTTGGCCACGAATTATGTATTATTATGCAAAAGATATATATGGCATTCCTGATATTTTGCTTAGCAGAGCTTGCCCTAACAAAAAAAACGACGTTGCCAAAAAAATGGTTACTTTCAGATTAACTATAAGGTGCCAGATACCCCACAATCAATTGGACAAAAAATGGCAGTGGCTTAGCTCAGCTATGCCTGGATATACGTAGCGTTAGCAAAGGTTCAGCTGATTATTCTTAGCTTTCCGGATATCATGCTTACAGCAGTTCCAATGACACACACACGGTATACGTATTATGTGGCACATGTATATTTATTTTGCCGGGCAACTACTTCGGAATCCGATAAGTTAAGCTTCTCCGCTCTACTGCACCGTTGAGCAGCATTTGCACTCTCCTTCTCCATGGCTATACCACAGTGGCAAACGCCAGTCAGAGGTGCTATCAAGCGGCTCCAGCGCAATGTCAGCTGGCGACTGCACAGGGAAGGCGTGCGCCTCGGCGTTATATGTCTACCAAGGCTATGACGGCACTCCTCTGGAAAGCGCACACTGGTGGCGGCGAGTCGCGCGCGTCCGAGTGCGAGAGAGGTGCTTGCTGGCTGCGGTGCGTGATACCAGTGATCGTCTGTGCAGCGCATCGAATCGCGCGCACACCGGCGGCGAGCCGCACGCGGCGGCGGCGGAGTATCATTGCGCATGCGCAGACCAGTGCCACGCGAAATTGGATCAGCAAGGCCAGTGTAGCTAACGCTACAAAAGCTTTATCATAGTAGGCCAACCCTCTGACACTCACAAAGCTGATGATGGCCAATGGGCTGGTGTGCTGACATTAGAGCAAGGCCACCATGCACAGTGTGTTACAATAAAAACGATGGTTTCAGTTGCAGGAGTATTTTGGAAAACATGGAATATTAAAAGCAGACACTTCTTGTAAGTGTAGTTAGCTGTGCTTCTTAGCATTGTTTCTCCTTCTCAATGAAAGAATGAAAAGCACTCTTACTGCAGGTAGCCTGGAGAAAAATTTGCATAATTTGCATTTTTTGCATAATTTGACAATAGATAAAGGGTCACCTCGTTAGTGCCTGGAAACTCTTTATGGCAAGTAGCCTCATAACTACTCTAGTAAATAGTTAATTAGCATACTCATCTAATTAGCCACTGAACCTAATTACCAAGCTTGTTTTTCAACTTATTTTTCTGGTGACTCTTGTTTTTTTTTTTTTGTCTTGTCAGAATTACAATTGAAGGGCTTTATTTTTAGAAATTTTAGGCAGTCTTTGGAGAGACACAAGGGGTATAATTGTAAGCCTAAATACCCATTCATCAATGATACCTTCTTCATATTATTTATTAGTTGTTTTTTTTCAAAAGAAAGAATTAATTTTATCTCAATTAACTAGAAGGAGCATCAAGAAAGATTCGTCATATAACCCGTTGGCTTTAGAGCTAGTACCATTTTTTAAAACTTGTTATGGAAGAATGTTGGATCAATGTCGAGAATGTTCATTCATGCATGTCGTCATATGAAGCAGTGATGGTGTCTGGGCATGTGTGGCTGCCTTCTTGGCAACTGTGTGGTGCGTCTTCCAGAATATATCAGGTGCTGCCGCTACATCCGGATGTCCTCCGTGGTCACCTGAGGGGTGGCTTTTTTCACCTTTAACGCTGCTCCACACGTGCTTCTCAGACTCTGCTTCTGGCATCATGATCAGTCACAATGCCTGCTTCTTGTTTCTGTAAGATGCAGTACTGTGTAGGTACAGCAATGACATTTCAGGATGCAACACTTTTACAGCATATATTATTTTGCACTGCTTAATCTTTTATAGAATGGTTTGCCCTCATGTAGGTGCTTATTTTGCACTATGCAGGAAGGCATCTTTGTCAGGTGGCTGGGGCAGCTATGACAGAAAGCAAAGCACAGCAATGCCGTCCACATCAACTGCAGCCAGCGCTGGCAGCACTGCAGCAGTCAGCACCACTAGCAAGCCGTGGAGCAGTGCAGAGGCGGAAGATGACGACGACGACGACGATGACCAGTATCTGGAAGAGGATAGCAGCCAAGAGGAAGAGCTGCGGTGCCCACCATGTCCCGTGTTCAAGGCAGACTATGTGTGTGGCACAGACAACCAGACATATTCATCCGAATGTCGGCTCCAGTACCACAACTGTCGTCAGCGCACTTCAGTGCAGGTCTCCTGCAAGGGATTCTGCCCATGTAAAGGTGAGTGTACAAATGTAGATACATTGACTTGCGAGGCTGTAAGAAAGTTGGCAGTATGGTAGTTTATTGTAGATGAAGTGCATATAAATAATTAGGCCAATGAAAAGGACAAAAGAAAAGTGCCTTAGCAAACATTTTCTTTTACTTTTTATATAAAAAAAATTTTTTCCTCCGCAGGGGAATGTTGCAGAGTGTTGTAAATTTGGTTAGCTTTGATGATACAGCAACCACATTGAAAAATGAAAGCTGAGAGTTTCATCCCAGTACCAGGGCATATTTATATTCCATATGACATTCTTTTTGTGTGCTTTTGAATGTAAGTATACATGTATCAACTGTGAAGATTTAAAGGAGGGGAGAGGGGGTAGATGTCGAACACCCCTTGATCCTCTGGCTGTTCACCTGTCCAGTGCATAATGATATGAAGAAAACAAATGCCATGAGCCAAGGTACATACCATAAGATCTCCTGCTGTCATATATTGCATCAGACAAACTTTACATGTCCAAAAATTTAATTTCACTAAAAATCTCTTGAGTTCATGTTCAATACATGTTTTCTTTCACTGACCATGGTTATAAGTCCTGATCTGTTGCAAGTAGTACATTGCACATATAATAGAGCCTCCCATTGTAGTGAGAGATTTAAGAAGGTTACAAGTTCCTTATTATGAAAGTGTTTGATGGTAAAAACAAAAAATGTAAATTAATTGGCAGCTCATTTTACAGTTTCCAAAATGACATTGGCAGCTCATTTTGCAGTTTCCTTGCTAATGTGACAACGAAAGTAGCACTCTAGCTTACTTCTATGGCACTGTGTTATGTGAGAGCAAATGGTAGTTTTTTTTATTGATCAAATCTTTATTTCTGCCTTTATCTCATGAATCTCAAAATGTTGTAATAGTTCAGTGTACCCAGCGAGGATAATTTTTCCTCTTATAGCTGTAAAAAGCTTGGAGGAACAACAACGGGAAAGTCGACAGAAAGCCCGGTGGGACCGTTACATGGCAAAGTTACAAAATACCATTGACAAGGAGAAAAAAGCCAACAAGGATGCAACAGGCAAGCCTGCTGCCTTCAGCAACAGGTATGTCTGCTCTCTACAAAGTATGTTTAGGAGCAGCAGTTCATTGTTTCTTCGAAATAGCGCATGCAGTGTGAATAAGGAGAGCAGACATGTCTGTTTAAGCAGAAATCATCCCATATTTACTATCATTGCTTCTCTCTACACAGCCTAGGTACTGGAAAAGTTTCTGTCCTACTTTTTTCTCTTTCTACAAACATTGAGTGGCCTCAGAATGCCTGTTTATTTTCTCAATGTGGTTTCACCACCTTCATGAAGCCTCCGAAAGCAATGGCAGTGCTAAACAATGCTGGAAATTAGTCAGCTCAAGCTTTAATGGTGTTTCATAATGGTTCATGAGCTGAACAATACTTGTTCTTGTGTGATCGGTCAGAATTGCACTTTGCTGACCAAAGAGCAATTCTGGTCAATTTGGCTTCCTAAAACGTAACCAAACATTTTGCACCTTTATAAAGCATTCACACCATAAGGAGGTGAATAGTTATAGTACCTCTTTGCTAACACCACAACTTTCAATATAAGGCTGTTCAATTCAATGGAAAGTGCAATAGAAAAATTGCTATGTAATGCATAATTGCAATTAGCTGGAATTTTTCTCCCAACCTTGCCCAATTTGACGAACATGTTATGTGGTTGTAGTTTTTTAACAACTGTCGTGTGAACTAACACAGTTATTTCGGGGAGATTTCGCCTACAGTCGAACCCACTTATAATGATCCCAAATATAACGATCTATCAGTTATAACGACCATATTTCGGTCCAGTTATGATTTTTCTATGCTACCCTTTGAAACTGAGTCTATGTACAGCAAACATTTTTCACGGCCTCGAACGAACACTTCCAACTCAGTCACGGTAAAGATATGGTGCATACATAGCGAAAAAAAAAAAGTTAAAACAGACACTCTAAAGCATGTGATAGGCGTGCGCTCGCGCATGCCCTGCTGCTCTCGACCAAGATATCATAGACTGCATCGAGCACCGCACGTAGGTTTCGGACGCTGCAAGCAGGGTCGCTCACTTTCTAAGCGTTTCTTCACTGGCAGAACGGAAGGGTGAAAAAAGAAATAGAAGTTAGCATGAAGACTGAGTTGGCTTTCGCACAGCAAGCTTTTCTGGCCCCATCCTCAACATCTACGACTGCCGACTATTAACCAACGCTTCGAACGCAAGAAGCCATAAATTCAAGATGCGATAACATTTTATCGCATAAGTGTTCACTGCACCCTCAGCCCACAGACACCACAATATGCCGCAAAAGGTTTTCCATTTTTCAGTAACTGCGCACCGCAGAGAGCAGGCAATTAGTAATAAATACTTCCACGTGGTTGCAGCGATTCCTTAACAGATAAGCATCAGGAAACGGCAATAGAGAGGTGGTCGTTGACAATGAGTGACAATGACAATATTTACAAATCGCCGGCAACCTGATCACAGTCATCTGCAGGTGTCTGCTCGGCGGAGTAACGGCGGTACAAGTGCATCATGCCGACGTTCGCAAGTTCGTTGCCACCACGTCGTGCGAGACCACTTGCGCACATTGCTTAAAAATTTGCCTTTGTTGTATTAGACGAAAAGACTGCTCATTGTGCCCGAACACAATCTTGAGTGAAGTATGCACGAAGAATGCAGAAACGCACGCATGCATTGGGCTGCAAACAACCCGCATGGAATGGGGAGAGCCGGGAAAGCTACTCACTGCACAGAATTAGCCAGGAATGATTGGTTCAAAGTAGTGGTACCATGCTTCAGTGAAACAGTGCAAGTTCATTGCGAACGTGGTTTAATTTACACGTGAGCAAACGGGCGTCACTTAATACGCGGAAAGGCCTAACTTATCAATGGAGTGGAAGGGTTGTTCGCACATTTCGATAAAGATACGAGAAAAAAGGGTTTGGTCGCTGAGTGCATGTTTTTATGGGCGAGTCCATATACAACGAACTACTGATACAATGACCACTTATTATCGGGGCGCTTTAGAGTTTGTTATAAATTGGTTTGACTGTATAGAAACGTGGATTCTTCTCGGTGTCTTCACTGTAATGTGAGTTCAGTTGCACACTTTCTGCCATGTGTGATGTTCTGTATCCTTGTTCTGTGATTATTTATATATTTATTTGTTCATTTATTGATTCATTCATTCATTAAAAGTATAGAAAGCATAAAAACACACTTGATGCCAGTTGAAGGGGTAGAATGTGACCTTATGCTGCGTCATGCGCTCAGGAAAAAGCGTTCTGTAACAAATGAAATTAGTTTTGCAACATCTGTTTCATATGCTGCATTGGTTCGTGTTGAGCTGCCTTTGTTATAATTGATTACTATATCATTTAATATCATGTTGCAATAATGAGACTCTATGGTATACAAAGACATACTGCATACTAAAGTGAAAGCATTTATTTTTTATTGCTACACAAAATCAGCTTTTTGCCTGCACCAAGATCTGTGCTGAAAGATCAAATGACTTTTTTACCAATATATTTTGGTTAGTTGTTTCTTGTAGTTTTTTGTTTAACTAAAGGGAAAAATGACTTTTTTTATATTAGTAACTTACTTTTTTTATGATACCAAAAGCATTACGGCTTCTGCTAGAAAACTGTTGGTATGGGAGAAAACACACAGAAAGAAAATGGGGTTGGCGACACCACCTTGAAGTTTCCGCACCTCCCGCCTTGGTGTCATAGATTATGACGCCTTCTACTACAGCCTATGTAGTTTCCAATCGGTAAAAATTAAGTACATTGTCTTCCAAGGGAGCCAGAGACTACCATGTTTCATGAAATTTTATTGAGGCCATCTCGCAAAAATACAGGAAAACACTTTGAAATTCGTAACGTCGCGATTGGAGATACATAGAAGTGAAACTTTTGACCTTCCAATTCTCATCTATTAATAAAGCTATGTTGGTGAAAGTAATGGCGCTAGAGTGTTTAATATAGGTGTGCGAGTATACAAACTTGAGAAAATTTTGGGATAGTGTTTGCTATTCGATTCAATTCTCACTGGAATTTCGTCTAATCAAAGTTTTCGAACTTCCCAAAGACTTGTACAGTCATGTCCAGTTGCCAATCGCCCCTTCAGATTTTCACATGCTTCACCCCATCACATTCTCGTATTGTGGCAAAGCTGCCTTTTAGCATTTGCTACGGTAGCAAAGATATTCATTAAAGAAAACGTTCAGAAACATTCATTAAGAAACATTTTATTAAGAATGTGTCCGAGTGAGTCTGGTTGAGGATAATTTTGGTGAGTCTGTGTTTTACGGTTTTAGGGAGCTATAAGTGCAATATATATTTATTGAGTCTGAGTGAGCGCCTCATTTTTCGCCAAGCTGTAGTGTCCCTTTAACTTATCAGAAAAAAAAAAAAATATGGCACTGCTGCATGACATTTATAATGTATAACCACCGCAGCTGTTCATTATGTGGTGTCAATAGCTACTATCAGGAGCTAGAAGCTGTATTAATTTTTTTTAGTTCTTTATGTTCACATGTGGGTCTGTTATTGATATACTATTTGTCAGCACAACCAAACAGGGGTAGATGAAATTGGCCATTTTTATACATGAAGTCTCATGTGGGCTCATAAGTATTGCAAAGAGAGTAGTGAACACATATGAAAGTTCAGTCTTATGAGACTTTAAAGGTGCTTTTCAAGCATACTGTGCAGGTCTTGGGTGTTAGTTTTAAATAGACAATGCATATTTTATATACAGTAAACTCCCTTTAAGACGAACTCTGTTAAGACGAATTCTTGCTTAAGACGAACAACATGTGAGTGCTTGTTTGGTTTGGTTCCCATAGACTCAATGCAAAAAAAATCTGCTGAAGACGAACTGCTTTACAGGCATCTCCTGTTAAGACGAACTCTCACAGCGACCAACAACGATGGGAAATCTGCAAAACGAGCATTATTGTCTTGATGAGGGCATTCGGGCAAACAAGAGAAAGAAAATAAAAAAAAAAACGTCCTAACGCAAAGATTCAAAGAAAATCGGAAGCAAAATGCGACATGGAGGAAGAAAGCAGGATAAGTGGAAAATAAAGGTCAGCCTGTATGTAGATAAAGAGCCGACTTTATCAGCAAAGAAAGCAACAAAAAGTGTTTGTCCTTTCGTATTCTACTTTTATTCTCAAACAGGAGTACAGTAGAGAACAGAAAAACACAAGAGCTTAGCGAGAGGGGAAAATGCAAAGAAAGGGAGAGAAAAAAAGCCAAATGAAAGGGAAAACAGGAACAAAAATTGTTTGTAGGTTATAATAACATGAAACTGAAACCACATACGCAGCTTTCAGAGCAGCTATCATATCAGCTATCATATCCCATCAGAAGACTCAGATGCATTGTCATTGCCGCAAGACAATGGCACCTGAGCACTTGTGGTCGGTTTGTGTTGTTTTGCATATGATCTAGTTGTGCGCATCGTATCTGCTCCCAGTGATATGAGGGAAATTGAGACACGCCATTTTCATTATAAAAGTGCATGACAAAGTAAGGTCATTATCTACACGAAATGTAGCTGCTTCATGTCTTTTTTTTTTGTGCCCGAGACTTGTGTGCATTGAAAAGTCTTAAACGGAGACCTTCAGCTGCATGTCGTTCAAGAAAAGTTACTGTGGCCTGAAAATACGAAAATATCCAAACCTCAAAGCTTCGGACTTTCATAAGCAACTAGGCGTATATATTGACTTTGTCAAGGTATCGGTATGCTATGGAGGCATATCCAAAAGTAATGGCAAAGCCAGTAAAACAACCTCTCGGAAGGGGAACAGCCAGAAAAATAAATTTTTCATTCTTTGAAGGAAAGTTGTGCTTGTTTCTCCCTATTTATCTTTTTCTAACCATCGGAATAGGGTCATGTCACAGGTTTATTGTTAAGATGTCGTAGCAATTTATTCATGAACATATGCATGAGCATGAGTGGCATATCGACCCGTGAAATTGAGTACGCATTAGATTACTCTAAATACTTTAATTTAAAGCATAGCTTTTATCAAGCTG